AAGTTGTTGGTATTCAGCGTCTATGCTTGTGTGTCCTGGTGGAATCGATAGTGTTTTGCTGCTAGATTCAATGTTGGTGAGCAGCGTGCTAATGAACACTTCTGCGTCACCACAGTTCTGCAAATTGCTTGCACTTAGGAGCCTGAATAATTGCCAATTCATGATCTGTGCACATCTACTCTTTCTGTGATTACCAAACTTCATGAGAGGATGGCCTATTAATACCGGCCGATGGTCACTGCCATGTGACTCAATGCCATTGTCCATTGGAATTCAGCTACAATATCTGAGGAGCAGAATATAACGTCTAAACATGCGCTATAAGATGGTCCGCGAAAAAAGGTCGGCAATCCATCATTTATAGTGCCGAGATTGTAACGATCCATAATGCTTTCTATAGGTTTTCTTCGAGAATCGCAGTACGCTTCACCCCAAAGAGTGTGATGAGCATTGAAGTCACCGCACATTATAATCCACCCTAACAAAGATGTTAAAAGATGGTCCAAGTCAGTAGAAAGAACTGGCTTTCTTGGTTCAATATAGACGCTCACTATGCGAGTTTCACGCTTCCTGAATTGAACTTTGCATGCCACATACTCTGGAACATCTGTTCTAGATACATCTGTCAGGCAACATGGTAAGTCTTTGTGTACACACAGAATTGCCCGGCTAGTTTTGTTGTTAGGGCGACAAGATTTGTACACAACATTGTTGGAAATTCTAAAGTTTGAATTTGTGCGAGCTTCTAATATGGCTAGAATGGGAAATTTTTGCTCGTAAACTAGCCTGCGGAAATCGCCCAGTTTCCCCCGCAGGCTATTAGCATTCCATTGGAATACCGCGACATTTTTGAAGCGACTATTCATACTTACCAGCACTGGTGAAAGCCACGTTATTGGGTCCTAGAAGTGGTTCCATAGCAAGCAGAACCTTAACCTCTGCTAACGATGTAGACCTTGGTGTCATTTTGATAATGGCCTTGAGTACAGCAAATAACATAGGCACCAGCATTTGTCCAACGTTGTCACTTGTGAGCACACCTGCCGAAGGAACTTCTTGAAGTGCTGCGGTACCTCTGGCTTTCAGGCGTCTTGGTGCAAAGACAACAGGTATGCCTTGCCTTTGTTGTTTCTTGTAATTCACGGTGATGAAGGGGTCAGCCTCCGGTAGGTCTTCGTCCTCATCAAAACATGTCTCAGTGCTTTCTGATATATCTTCGTCTGTCTTATGGCGCTTTGCGGCATTTGTGACGACGTCCTCGTTGTTCACCAGGTGTCCATTGGGAACTACCACTTCGGTTGTGACATGATTGCTTTCCATCCTCGTTTGAACCATTGTAGGATCTTGCATAGACTGGTCGTTGTGCCCTGTGCATCCAGGATCATTATTAGATACAGTTGTCATGGTAGTGATCACTGTCTCCCTTCCAGCAAGGGCGGTCTCTGGAGGATGGTCACCGTTGCGAGCAGGGAGTACATTCCAAGGGCCGTGCCGAAGGTACGGCTTAGCTGTTGAAATGGCTTGGCGCCTGATGCAACGCTCAACTGGCGGTCCTATCGTGCCGGCTGATGTGGTCAAAAACAAAAAAAGCTCATGCCAAGGACCAAAATCGCAGAGATGTTCGAAACACATCTGGTTGCTTGATCATTTCTCCGTGACTTCTTCGGGACAAGCGTACATGGCCATCGCCACGCCAGAACATAGAATTATCAAGACTTCATAGTTGATTGATGTGTGGTGTTTAACTTCCCAAAACCACCATATGATTATGAGAGACGCCGTAGTGGAGGACTCCGGAAATTTCGACCACCTGGGGTTCTTTAACATGCACCTAAATCTGAGCACACAGACCTACAACATTTACGCCTCCATTGGAAATGCAGCCGCTACAGCCGGGATTCAATCCCGCGTGCGGCAGTACCTTAGCCACCAGACCACCACGGCGGGGCAGGACTTCATAGTTCAGAGCCAGTCACCCACTACAAAAGCAAAAAGCACACACGCAGTATACTGCACCCTTAAGGCCACGTAGTGAGTGCATAGCAAGTTCGAAAATATTTCATGCAACAAGTGTTTGGAGTACGCACTAGGAACAGAATATCACTATCGTGTTCAACACTTAAGGCGAGGCTTAAGGGTCCCCAAATTTTTCTTCACTTTTATACCTCCTCCTTTCCCATAAACTGTCAGAGGAAAATTTTTTTGATATTATAATTATTATTATTGAAATTGGTACCTACTGCACGTCAGCTTGAAGCAGCACAGCACATTTTACATTGCGCCGAGTGCTTTTTTTTATACAGGTTACACTTTTTTTACACGAAACGATTTAGCCGGTACATACCAGAAGACAAAAAAAAAAAAGAGAGAAAAGAATATTTTGCACATGAAAGGAAGAACTCTTGGCCCATTCTGCACAAGTGGAATCCAATAAGGGGCGCGTTGCTTCAGGTTTCATTGCCACATGACAGTGAAAAAAAAATACGCTTCATTGATGTAGTCTGAATAACAGAAGTTTTTTCGAAGCTCCTTTCTATTTTAAAATATTGTAATGAATTCATTACTCTAGCACCTACAAAAATGCAAACACATTTATACTACAAAAAACATCTTTAGTAACACTCTAGTGGGTAACTCTCGATATTGAAAAATGTAACACCACTGCACGGCAAAACAAAGTTGTAGCTGGCGTGCATGCTATCTCGGCAAGCATCAGTGCGCTGTTGTGGATCTCAACGCTGTTCGACGCGTAGTTGCTCCAAATCCCAGCGCTGATCACCAGTTGTTGTTGATCCCGGTGCTGAATCGTATCCCACCACTGCCAACCAGTTTTTGCGGCTCTCGGCGCTGTTCACCAGTTGTTGCGGATCTCGGCACCGTTTACCAGTTGTTGCGGACCGGGGTCTACCCGGTCTCTTGTGGTAGCATGGTGTAGGTTCGGGTTGAGGAAACGAACGCTGACAAAAAGGGGATACGAAAAACAAACAGGTTTATGGCACTATTTACACTTATTTACAGCATGAGGTTAGGAGTTCACAAACCACGAGCGTGGTGGTTGAACCGTTACATGGTTCAGAGCCACGTCCAGCACACTGCGGCGTCGTTATATGCCCTGTCGGGCTCCTCCTCCTTGAGTGGAACACCAATCACACACACACAACAGGCGAGGAGTACGAGCATGCACGGCCCACGTGAACATCCAATATTGAGTCGTGATCACTGCACTGCAAGGTGGCGCCGGACGGGCTCTTCCTCGTCGTGTGTGTGCCGCTGGTCGAGGGGTCCCAAGCTCCTGACAGCATACATCAAACGGTCCGCCGATCTGTCCGCTCAATTAGCAGGGCAATTTGTGGCGGCGGCCGCGGTTTCTTCCAAGGAGGATGCTGTCTTTGTTGTCCTCTCTGGAACGGCTTACGGCGTCGTGGCGACACGTCTCATCCTCCAGCTAGCAGGGACAATACCTGGCGGGCATAGGCAGCCGGCCAGTCGGCTACTTGTTTGAGGATTAAAAGAGCGCCGCTCCCCCGTCAGCTCTGGACGCTGGTTCCGAGAGAATTGGGGTTCCAGGCGTGGGAACGCTGCCCGGCTACGCTTCTCAGCGACAGCATGGCGCCTACTGACAACGGTCATAACAGCACTTTCAACGTGAAGAGCTTGTACAAAAAGAGCGCTTGTCCTTGGAACTTCCCCATTTGCTTACACAAACGTATTGTAGGAGTTCCTTGATATCGGACCTAGAAGAGTTGGTTGCCTTCCTTACTTGTATAACATCTATGATTTGTTGCTATCGCATTCATTGCATTGCATTCAAGGTGCCGTCGTGTTGTTGCCCGAGTTAATTGGCTAATCTCGAAGGCTGTGGTCCCGCGAACTCGCGGCACAGTGCAATGTAGAAGCGTGACGAGTCGACTTCCGAAGCTCCTCCGTTGTCACCGTGGTCAGAGAGAGTTTCCATCAGCGCCTAATCTGACATCCCCTCGGTAGTGACATAAAAACAAAGCAAAGCTGAACGTCGTCGGAAGCCACACCATGCGTGCAAACCATGCACGCGCACACAGCGTCGAAAACGAAGAGCGAAAGACACGGATACCATGAAAAACTATTTGTTAAAGCGCCCTCATATGCAGCACTGCCCCACATAAGTGACGCTAACTAAAAGAATGACGCTGCCAAAACAAAAGTGATTTTCTTTTCTTTTTTTGTTTGGGATGGCACATTCGGACACGTGCTCATTGGGGCAAGAACGGCAGTAACGCCGGCTCGTGGGGCGCAGGTCTGCCTGCTCGCCTCGTGCACACCCGCACGCAATAACAAGCACTCGCTCTCGTTTGGGAGTCGCCAGGACCATGAGCACCGCCGCCACTTTGTGCTTTGTTGGCAGCGGAGAAACCGTGAAAGATGCATGCTCATGCCAAAAAGAGAAAATCCAGGGCGAAATTCCTAGATTGTCTGTGGCAAAATTCATTATCTTAAGGATGCCTCCTACTGTTACTTTGTTACATAGAGGTCGCAAGTACATGGGCTGCTATGGAGCAACGGCGGGAAATCGAAAAACTTCATTACATCAAGGAATTCGTTACATGGAGGTTTGTTATAAGCAGGCTTAACTGTATAGAGTTGGTGTTTAAACGAAAGAGAATGAAATAAACCAACAACAAAGAAATAAACAGATAATTACTTTAAACATTTCTATGTGACTAACAATAGCTCGATTTCAACGACACTTTTGCACAAGTGAAAATCTTGCAACAACCCCTCCGCCCACCCTCTTTTTTGCACAAAAGCAGTCCTGCCCCAAGCCACTCAATCACAGTAGAGTGGTAGCTTGGAGTAGTTGGTGTGGCATCATAACTGGGGAGCATGAAATGCTAATTCGATGTAGTGGGCAAGGGTGGACAAATAACAGGTGCTTGTCGTATGTCCACCTTCGTCCAAGTGGTTGGTTCAGCTCTTCACCCTCCTCGTAACTCCCCATAAGGCACCAGTGCTATCTGACTTACCTGCAAATAGTCAGCGAACTGACCCAAAGCAAAGAGTGCAGCATTCCGAACTTGAACGTCCTGGTCCAAAATGCCCTCACAAATGGTTTGGACGAACGTTGGCAGATACCTGGATCAAAAAGCCATAGTTACTCAAACCAATAGGTTACGTATTTCGCGCTTTTTTTCACAAAAATACAAATACTGCACAGGAAAAAAGCAAAACAGCAAGCTCAGCTGTAATCTGACGTAGAACAACCTTTATTAATGATTGAGAGTAAGCGTCACATGGTTCCCTTACAACACCACGATTAAAGTGACTCTTCGCTCTTCCCCTTTCTTTCCGTTGCACGGCCCCGAACCTTCCCACCCACTGGACACCATACTCCCGTACCGAGCTGATGCATCTGAGTGCTCTCCACTTTCTAAAGTCATCAGATACACCAGAGAAAGCCATCAGTTGGCTCGTCTTCTGACAAGTGAAACTCAAGGTCGACAAAAGACTCGACATGACAACGTTCATCACCCAGCTCCTAGGATTTGTGCTGGCTCCCTTGTTTGGCTTTGGGTGCCCCCGCAAGTCCCTGGCCTTTCTTCTAAACTTCTGGCGTGATACCATGATCCGTACCGTGTCATTGATGCGACCTTGCTGGTGAGTTCCATCGTCAAGCCCCTCACAGAATCGCCAGATTTGAGCCGTCGAGAACGTGAGACTCTATACGTCGACCGTCTCAAGCCCTACTACGACCCCCTCATTGTGCCTATTCCCCGAGTCGCCAGGATAGCTACGCTTCACCACAGGTGAAGGTGGAGGTAGGGAAAGAAAAGGCAGGAAGGTCAACCAGGCCAGCGTATGCGTCTTTAGAAGAGGATGAAAACCCCACGTTCTGATTGCGTGAGAAGCTGTGCCACCTTTGCCGGCCTTGCCGTACGGCCCTTTTGCGTTGCTACCTCGTAGCGACTTTTCTGGTTTAATAAACCTCATCGCACTGCTTTTAATGAACCTTCATATAACGAATTCCTCGATATAACGAACTTTTTCTATTCCCCGCCCTGCTCCATAGAAGCACATGTATTTGTGGCTTCTGTGTAACAAACTAACAACGGAAGACCGCCCTTATGTAACACATTCCCCCCCCCCCCCCCCGTAAAATATATACATTTTGCCCCGGATTTTGCCATTTCGGCACAAGCATGCATCTTCCGTGGGTGCCCCACCACTGCCGAAGCGGCGGCGTGCACGGCGCACCAGATGAAAGCGATTTGATTGATTGATATATGGGGTTTAATGTCCCAAAACCACCATATGATTATGAGTAACGCCATAATGAAGGGCTTCGGAAATTTCAACCACCTGGGGGTCTTTAACGTGCACCCAAATCTGAGCACACGGGCCTACAACATTTCCGCCTCCATTGGAAATGCAGCCGCCGCAGCTGGGATTTGATCCCGCGACCTGCAGGTCAGCAGCCGAGTACCTTAGCCACTAGACCACCGCGGCGGGGCCCAGACGAAAGCGAGAGCTTCTAATTATGAATAGGTGAGCGCGAGGCGGGCGGGTGTCCTCGAGCTGGCGTTGCCGCCGTTCTTTCCGCCGCGGGCACATGCGTAAATGTGCCCCCCCCCCCCCCCCCATCCAAACCAAAAACAAAACAATAAATCTACTTTTGCGTTGGCAGTGCCACGCCTTTAGTTAGCGTCACATATGTGGGGCCACGCCTAATCCAAATAGTTTTCTGCGGTATTCGTGTCTGTGTTGCTCGCTCTTCGTTTTCGATGCCGTGCGTGCATGCATGGTTTCACTGTGCGTGTATGGTGTGGCCCCCATTGACGTTGAAATTTGCTTTTTTTTTAAGGCGAACAACCGTGTCGTCAGCACCGAGGGGATGTGAAATTAGGCGCAGATGGAAACTGTCAGCGATTAGCCAATTAGTTCTGGCAACAACACAACAGCGTGTTGAATGCAATGCAACGAACACCACAGCAAAAAATTGTAATGGTATACGAAGTAAAATTGGCAGCCAACTCTTTTGGATCCGATGCCGCGGAACTCCTGCAAAACGCTGGTGCGACCAAATATGGCCGCTCCAGGAAGAAGTGCTCTTTCCGCAGTCTATTTGTGTTGAAAGCGCACTAATGCTTGATGAGATAGCACGTGCACCAGTGATCCCGACCGAGCCCTTTAAATCAAAGTTCACCGTTGCTAGTCAAGCAGCCCCACCCCTTCCCTGTTTTTTTATGCTCGTTCGGGTTTCCTTTCTGTTTGAGCATTTGACGGTAGTTCTAACACGCATTTCCGATGGAGGCGGAAACGTCGTAAGCCCGTGTTCTCAGATTTGGGTGCACGTTAAAAAACCCCAAATGGTCAAAATTTCCAGAGCCCTCCACTACGGCGTCTCTCATAATCATATGATGGTTTTGGGACGTTAAACCCCACAAATCAATCAATCAATCAACACGCGGGGAATCTTATGATGATGATATGTGGTGTTTATTGGCGCAAGAGCCATGTGATGGCCAAAGAGCGCCAGTACATGATACAAAAGATGTGGGCAATGGAGGTAATGACTGGCTGTATAGAGGCCTAAAATTCCTCGCGCTAACGGCGGGTAAAACATAAAGGTATTAAAATCATGAGAGTGACATGAAATGTGTTCAGCGAAGATAAGCAGCCAACGGTTCTGATGATGATTACATGCAGTGATGATACAGCCCAAATGTCTCTTAATGCACTCGTCTCCAAGGGCCACGAGGCAGGTGCTTTGTAATGTATCTTCTGCAGCAGAGACCTCTCTTCAGAGGTCACGCTACAGATTAATGGGGTAATGATGTTAAAACTACCAACATCTTTTAAAACGCAAATGATGATTGATGATTACAAAGTGCGTCCCTACCGATGAACATCGATAGATGAAGTGGTATTTGCTCTCGGTAGGGCAATGGATGGGAAGTTCTTTTCCTAAAAGATGCAATTCATTGCATTAGGTTAAAATCTGCAGAACGGTGTGTGGTTCATCACATCTCTCGCACAAGGGTATGAATGTGTACTGTGGGTGCATCCTAATCTTAGCCTTGCAAGTGTTACGACTGTATGGCGTGACTTCAATACTAGCGGCCAATAGTCAAGCTGTGGCTTGATAACGTGTAGTTCATTTTGTGTGTGGCTATCCCATGTGCTTTGCCAATAAGCTCTGAGCTGTCGTTTGAGGAAAGGTTTGAAGTCAAGCAAAGGAATAGATGTATTGGCAGAGTTCATGTGGATGGATCCAGCTAGTTGACCTGCCATCACGTTACTGTGGATTTCGCGATGTCCTGGCACCCAGCAAACTACGATGTGTTATTTGAGGGTGTACACTGTGCATAACAGTGAGTAAAGTGAGACAACAGGATTTTTGTGCTTTTTCAGAGTTTTTCAGAGCTTTTACTACACTTAAGGAATCTGTGTAAATTACTGCTTTTTGTATTTTTGATTGTTTGATGTGTTTAACAGCCGCAAGTATCGCATACGCTTCTGCTGTGAATATGCGCGTATTAGGGTGCAGAATGCCAGCATCCAAAAAGGACGAACTGTCCGCTGCGTACAACACACAGGAGTGAGACTTTGAGGCATCTGTAAAGAATTCCAGACAATTGTATTTGTGCTGAAGTTCTAGAATGTATGTGTGGATATGTGCAATACGAGCATGTTTCGTGACTTTCAAAAAGGACACATCACATTCTATGAGCCGCCCACCGCTACAGCGGGAGATGTGCAGCGGGACCCATTAGACAGTGTTTAAGCAGCAAAACACCCGTTTCCTCTGCTATGTCCCTCACATAAAGCGAGTAGGGCTTTCTCATCGAAGTACAGTTTTCAAATAGGGCACAGCTGGACAAATCAGTGACTGTGGAGTACGAGGGATGTTCCTTGTCGGCGATCGTTTTCAGGTAATATATAGAAGACATGTAACATCTCCGTAAATGGAGCGACCACTCATTTGAATCAATGTAGAGGTTTTCTAGGGGGCTAGTGCGAAAAGCACTGGTAGAGAGACGAATGCTTAAATGGTGGACAGGATCAAGCATTTGCAAAGTGCTTTGTGTTGCAGACTGATAGATGATCGTACCATAATCTAGTCGTGTTCGTATGAGGCTTTTGTAAAGATTCATCAGACATTTTCTGTCACTTCCCCACGCAGTGCGTGACAACACTTTAAGAATGTCCATGGTCTTTAAACACTTGTTTTTGAAATGTTTGATGTGGGGTGCAAATGTTAATTTCATGTCTAGAATTATACCTAAAAATTTCTGTTCAGATCTCACTACAGTAGTAGCCGCTCACTGTGCAAGTCAATGACTGAATCTGGATGGAGACTTCTCTTTCTTTAGAATAGAGCGCATGTGCTCTTTTGTGGGTTAAGGGTAAATAGATTCTCATCAGCCCACTTTGTTACCTTATTCAAGCCAAGTTGGACTTGTCGCACGTATATTGCAAGGTTGCATGATTTAAAACCTATCTGCGCGTCGTCGACATATGTGCAATAAAACATATTGCGTAGAATGTAGGAGGGTAGGCCATTCATTTTTATAATAAAAAGTGTGCAACTTAGTACATCACCTTGCGGCACTCCAGTTTTTTGTGGTCGAGATAAGACATTTTCCACTCGGACACAAAAAGTGCAATTTGACAAATAACTTTCTATTATGGTCAGCATGCTACCTCGGACACCTAAATGTGAGAGGTCTCGCAGAATGCCAAACCGTTATGTGGTGTCGTACGCCTTTTTTTTTATATCGAGGAATACTGAAAGTGAAGAATTGTTTACGGACGAAGGCGTCGCGGATTTGCGCCTCGATGCATAATAGGTGGTCAGTGGTCGATCTACCCTCGTGAAATCCACACTGATATGGGTGCAGTAGATTGTTCGTTTCCAGAAAATATATTAGTCTGTGATTAATCATCTTTTCGAAAAGCTTACAAAGGCAGCTTGTTAATACGATCAGCCCGTAACTCACTACTGAGGACAGATCCTTACCATGTTTTAGTATTGGAACGACAATAACCTCTTTCCAAGAAGCAGGAATCTCACCGAAAACCAACTGGTATTGTACAGAGAAAGTAGGGTTTTTAGTGTTTTGAGTGGTACGGTT